ACACACGTGTCCAAATGAGCCATAGGGTGTCCTAGAAAAGTAATTAGGGCATCACATGAGCATGAAAAGTGTGTGTGGACATGACATGTATATGTGTTAATGTGTTGAAACATATAATTGCTTATGTTTAAATGTTTAAAGTATGCAACTTCCTATATTTATTATTATAATGTTGCATATAGTGAAATGGATAATGCAAGCACTGCTAATGAAACTGAATCCCCTGAGGCAAGAATGGCGAGGTTGGAGAGAATGGTGGAACTATTAACTGCAAGACTAGAACAACAACAGAACCAACAGCCCTCACCTCCTCCTCCGGTACAGCCAGAACCGAACGTTAATGATGGGGATATAATTGCTCTCACCCAGAAGTTCAGCAAAATAAAACCGCTATCTTTTCAGGGAGGCCTTGAACCCTTAAAAGCTGAAGCTTGGGTCCTTGAGACAGAAAAATTGTTCGAAGTTTTTCCATGTTCTGAAGCACACAAAGTGCTATTGGCCACCTTTACACTACAAGAAGAGGCCAGAAGGTGGTGGATGTTAGTCCGCGACACCAACACTGTTATGACTTGGGCTCAATTCAAGGAGTCCTTCTTCAAAAAGTATTTCCCTCAGTGTGTCAGGGACTGAAAAGTGACTGAGTTTGAACAACTGAGACAGGGTACCATGTTCGTTGCTGAATATGAAACAAAGTTCACCGAACTTGCTAGATATGCACCACATATGGTGGACACTGACTACAAGAAGGCCAAAAAGTTTGAGGGTGGCCTTAATGTTGCAATACTGGACAGAATAAATGTTTTAAAGCTACCGAACTATGTAAATGTTCTTGACCGAGCATTAATGGCTAAGTCAAACATCGAAGCGCTGAAACAAACTGAAGCACAAGCTTCTGAATAGCATGGTAAAAGGCAGGGTTTTAAGTTCAAGAAAGGCAAAAATAATCCATTGAACAAGAAACAGAATACAGGGTCAACGACTACTTCTAGTCAAGGGAACCGTTCTATACCACCCTGTTCTGAATATGGTAAGAACCATAAGGGAGTTTGTTATAAAATATCTAGAGCTTGTTACAGGTGTGGCAAGGTGTGCCACATGGATAAAGACTGCCCCTCTGCTCCGCAGGCCAATAGTAAAGTTGCACCTAGCGTAGCAGCATCAACTGCTACACCAAAGCCTAACCCCAAAGCTACCGGAAAAGAGCCCATGAGGCAAGGCCGAGTGTTCGCACTAGAACCGAGAGACGTGCAGAATACCGAGACCGTTGTGTCAGGTATTCTCTCTATTTGTACTCAAAATGCATATGTTCTGATTGATTCGGGGTCTACACATTCATATGTATCACATGCTTTTTTGCGAAAACTGAATAGACCATTAGAACCCATGAATTATCTGTTAGTTGTATCTTCACCTATCGGGGGATCTGTAACTTGTGCTTATATGTACCCTGCATGTGAAATTATTGTTAGGGATATGCATCTGTATATTGACTTACTGCCTCTGAACATAGATCATTTTGATATTATATTGGGGATGGACTGGTTAACGAAATATCATGTTACCATAGACTGCGTGACGAAACAAGTAGTTTTCCGTCCATCGAGTTTACCTGAATTTGTGTTTAATGGGGTTGGAGTAATACCTCCTCCATATCTGATTTCCTCTAGTACCCCTGTTTACCGATCAACTACTAATTACTGCTAAACTGAGACTGAACATGATTAGTAATTGAACTGACTGAATTACTGAACTGATTGACTGCGTATGTTAGTTAAATTGCATTTCTATCTGTTGACTGTTTAAATTATCTATTCATGTTTTATGTCTTAAACTGCAAATTGAAGGCCTTATCGGCGGCCGAATCTGAAATTGATTGACGTTTTATGATCATTAGAATTTATATGATTTATGGCATATTTAATTGAAAAGTGTTTTGGTATGATGAAATTAGATTGAATTAAGCTAAATTGCATAGTTAGACTTATTTACCATGGTGCCATTGAGTGGGCCACTTAGCCAACACATACTTGAGCCTTATTATACATGTAAACAAAACATTTTATCAGCCAAGTTCCTTGTTATTGCCGACTACAGAGAGAGAGTGTGAGAGGAAAAGAGTGATTTCAATTTGCTTCATCTTGTATTGCTTGAAAATTGAGGAGATTGGAGGAGTTTGTGATCAATTGAGCTTCTAGACTTGTATTTGAGAACCTAGGTAAGGAATTTATCCTTTTAATTGTGTATTCAAGTTTGTTCTTGCATGATTCATGAGTCTTTAGTGATCTAAGTCATGAATTAGTTCTACCATGTTGAGTTGTAGCTCTAATCTTGCATGCATATTTATATTGTTGAGTTTTAAGTTGTTTTCATGGCAAAATGTTACATGCATGCTCATAATTATGTTTGAGTCCATGATTTCACCTTGTTTTGAAAAGAATCGGCTCATTAGAGCATGTATTGAAGTTTTGAATTGATTTAAACTCATACATGTTTGCATGTTCATCATGTTCATGAAAATTGGTTTGAAATTGAGTGTTTGAACCACCCTTGGGCTTTGATTTTACAATTGAGCTTTGGAATCATGTTAAATTATGAGTTTTGGAATGTTTTCTGGAAAATTGGCCCAAGAGAATCGGAATTTGTGTATTTGAACTTGGTTTTGAGCGGCTATCGAGCGCTCATCGAGCGTGATTTTCACTTATCCTGTACTTTTTCCCTGTTTTGCAGAACGCTCGAGCGGGAAAGTATACGCTCGAGCGGAGCGGATACCTTTGTCTTCATGTCCGCTCAAGCGGGGAAACCTACGCTCGAGCGGAACCTCTATTTTTTGAAAAATGTTTTAAAGTGCGTCTTTGCATCCTAGGCATTCTTAGGCCTAGTTTAAGGCATCTTAATGACGATATAGATGTAGAACACACCGAGGCAAATTAGGGATTAAGTTATTATCTTTCCCAACTGTGTAGCTTAGTGTGTGTTCGACCTATAAACTGTGTAGGGTTGGCGACTGGAGACGCCCTCTAGGTTAACTGTAGCCCAGAACTCTGTGAGTAACAACTGTGTAAAGATATGTTCAAAGATGAATATTTTCTGACTGTTAACTGAACTGCTTTCTGAACTGTTACTGCCAACTGAATAAATGTATGTCCTATATTCTGAACTGTATTGTGGCATCCTTAGCAACTACTGTTTACTGTTACTGCTACTGTTATAGAGATCTCTGTCGGTTCCCATATGAAACTACTACTGTTTACTGTTATGATGGCCATCATTGACTGCTTGGTCTTTTAAGACCTACTGTTTACTGTACTGCTATGCTAATGGATGTATCACACATGACTGTTACGACTGAACGATTGAAATGCTGATTTAATGAACTATTTTCATTACTGTAAGGACATTCATTCTTAACCTCTTTACGCGTTATGTTATTCACTGGGCTTTAGCTCACCGTTTATATATATATGTAGGTGTACATGCACCCGACCGGAGCTAGGAGCGTGGGTTAGACTCCTTTTTTGTCAGGCCAACCATTGTGCCTCACTGCGAGGTTCCGAGCCTGTCAAGCTATGGCTCAGGGGTGTTTTAATTTCCCCCGTCTGTCTCTGTATCTGTTTTGTAATAACTATATAGACTGATAGCACTGTACTGTACTGTCTAACAGGGATTAGGTCTCTGTTCTGATCGACTGTAAATGTTGTACATACTGTTCTATATTGTTCATGTATATACGTTAGAAAAATCTATTTGCATACAGACTCACAGCTCATTGGACATTGTTTATTTACTGTTTTGGCTTCCGCCATGCCCCTATACTTTGTATTATTGTCTGACTGTTAAGCAGGCCTTTGGTAATCTCAAATTACTAGCCGGTTACAATGCTAAACCCATAAGGGCGGGTTTGGGTCATGACAGTGTGGGAAATATAATTCAGAGTATATATAACAATGTGAATGTTCACATCTTGTTAATACGATGTTATGGAGGGTTGCTTGCATGTTGTGTAATGGCACCTTATTGTGGTGTTGTGATTTTGAACTTGTAAAATGTTTTATGTTGTGCAAGGATGATAGTGGTAGTTTTCACTATGGATTTAGAAGTGGAACTGTACACATAGACATTTAGTTTGCACAATGTGAATGTTCATATAGTATGGATTATTGTATGTATTGTTGTTCGTATGATTGTTACGTGATTGTTGACTTTTGTTTTGTTGTGTTTTTATAGAAGATAGATACCTTTATGATGTTGGTGTGCACACATGTTACAGTACAATTGTAATAAATGTGGTTCATGCATTGTGTTATTCACGTTTGGCGGAGCAGTTGTGTGAAAAATGGGACGAGTTGTCTGCTTGTTCTATTTCATTGTTCTGTTGACTACTTGGGATTAATAGGTGTGATTTGGACAATGTCGAAGAATTTTAGAACATGTTATTGCTTGCTAAATCAATGGGGTTACACCATGTAGAGGTTGTCGTTGATTTGAAACGTGATATTGGTCAGTCGAGTAGCTCTGGGTCGCTGCATGTGGAGGGTGAGGAAGAAATTGATGCACTTTAGAGATTTTGCCACCATAAGAAGAAGATGTTGTTGTCAGCCCCTTAGGCAAATGGCATTACGCATGTAGGACAACGATTTGTTGGAGGTGCACAAGAATTTCATGATGTTTTATGTAAATATGCAATCTAATGCGGGTTTCAGTTTATGAATGTCAAGAACGAGACAACAAGGGTTGCTGCGGTGTGTATGATGCGTGAGGAGAGAGGTTGCTTGTGGTCTATATATTGTAGAGCACAATGAGCAAATGGTTTTTTCTATATCAAGAGGTTCAGTGATGTACATAGTTGTGGTACGGATGTCCGAACATCAAAGAATCCGAGAGTTAGTTCTGATTTGGTGTAGAGTACTATTTCTAAAATTGTGAGGGACAAGTCGTTGACTTGGCCGTGTAAGGTGGTGACTATTTTGAAGAGGGATTATAGGCTAGATGTGAGTTACCACATGGTATGGTTGGGCGTAGAAAAAGCAAAGGCTATTATTCATGGAGATCACTCATTATCGTTTGACCAGCTGCGGTGGTATTCAAATGCTGTGATGCGCTACAATCCGGGAAGTTATGTCAATATTGATTATAACGCAAGTAGGCAATAGTTTTGTTATTTATTTGTGTCATTCGCTGCGTGTATTTCTAGATACAATTCTTGTCAGCCTTTGCTATTCCTAGATAGAACATTCCTTAAAGAAAAGTACAAAGGTCAGCTACTTTCAGCAACGATGAAAGATGAAAGCAATGGTTAGTATTTTTTTTAACTGTTTATCTTTGTAAATATTCACATTGAGTGACACAGTGTAGATATATGACTGACCATTACACAGTGTGAACATTCACATGACCTGGTTGCTTTATAGTGTTGCTATACACTACTTGTGTTAATATTTACATTGGAATATTGTGATCAGTTGTTTAATGGTGTTGTGTTGTAAGTCTATTTCCTGTTGCATTTACGATTGTTGATTCAGAGACCACGACCAATTGGTCGTGGTTCTTGGACGAACTTGGGAAGGTTGTTGATGGTAAGCGTCAGATTACTTTTATTTTAGATCGTAATCTTGGTCTGTTAGAAGCTATGCCAAAGGTGTTCTTATTGGCTCACCATGATTATTGTTTACAACACTTGAAGAACAATTTAAAAGACCAGATGAAAGGAATTGATAATGGATTTAGGGATCACCTAGTTAGTAGTTTGGGTAACTGTACTTGCGAGCCAACTATGGTAGGGTTCCATGAAAAGCTTGAGAAATTAAAAGAGGCAGGTAAGCAACGAGCACATAATTTTTTCAAAGACTTGGCACCTGAGCACTGGGCGAATTCATACTTCAGGTAATAGTAATTTCCTGATGTATTCCATTTGTCAAGTTTAGAATAGTAGCGATGTAAATTTTCAGTTATGTTTTGTGGCAATGTGAAATTTCATATTCAGTTTCGAAGAAATTAAATTCAGTATTGTACAATGTTTGTGATGTTGTGCAGGGGCATGCGTTATGGGGAGATGACATCTAATGCGGCAGAGTCATTTAATAATTGGATTAAAGAAGCACGCAATCTTCCTATCACTCAAATGGTGGACACAATTCGTACTCAGTTGATACGGCAAATGTCTGCACGGCGTGACCAAGAAACAAGTGGAATGAGGTTATTTGTGCTATATTTGAAACAATGCTTCTTGATTCATTCAATGACAGCAGGTCTTGGCAAGTTAGCAAAACCAATGAGGATGTGTTTGAAGTTCATTTGATACCATCTCTTACAATTGATATTGCAAGGCATACGTGTTTTTGCTTCAAATAGCAAATCAACAGATTCCCACGTGACCATGCTGTTATTGTTATTCAGAAAAGTCGTTACAATCTCAACGATTGTGTGGAACATTATTTTTATTTAGAGACATATCGTGCGGCCTATTTAGGTGTCATATTCCCTATACCCTCGGTGGAAAAGTCGCCTTTTGATCCCACGAACTTCACTATATACCCATGTCACGACCCAAACCCGCCCCTATAGGTTTAGCATCGTAACCGGCTAGTAATCATGGGATTACCGAAGGCCTCTGAGACAAATTAACATAATGATAGGGGCTAGCGAAAGCAAATAACGAATATACAACGTCCATTGAGCTGTGCAGACTTATATAAGACAGAAAAATTTTAAACTTTTTATATACATATATACACATCATCCCTACGTCATAATATGTATACAGATCAGACAAAAAGGACTTAGCCCCTTTTTGAAAATACACAAGACTTGTTTAACCAAACAAGAAAACAAAACTTAAACTTTAAATCACATAGCGATAATCACTTGACATATCCGGAACCTCCACGGGAGGCACATAGGTTGGCTGGCAAAAACAGATTCTAGGCAGATGCCTCTAAGCCTGGTCACGTTCCTGATCACCTACATACATAAATAATACAGTGAGCTAGAGCCCACTGAATAATAACAGAGTAAAGGGTTTTAATGAATGAGTCCGTACAGATTCAGAAATCATAATTCAGTTTCGTATCAAATTCATAATTTGTCCAGATCATATACAGAAATCATAAGTCATACTTAAGCATACATGATACATCCACTAGCATTAGCAGAGCAGATACAGAACAGATACAGACATGTGAGGGTTACGAATAACCAGTTCCATAAAGGAACCTCCAGATCCGGGTAACAGAGAATAAACATGCTGAGCCCCCATGACAGGGCCTCCGGTACGGCTAACAGAGTGCAGGCAGATTAAGTTCCATGATGGAACCTCCGATACCGGGTAACAGCCAACAGATATCACATGATGCTAAGGATGTCACGAATATATATCAGAAATTGGACAATCATTCATTGTACAGAACATATCATTTCAGAAAACAGATCTTAATTCATCACACAGAAAATAAATACAGTTGAACATAACTTTACTAAGTTATTACTCACAGATAACTGCAGAAGCAAATCAGACATACTGGACATATCAGATAAATCAGGCAGACAATGGCGCGTGACCTAACACAAGCACGTAACATATACACATTGAAATACAATATTACTTCCTTGATCAAACTTGACTTTTCTAGTCTTTTTCGGTCTAAATAGTCCGAAATTCTACTCCGCTTATTCTTACTCATTCAAATAAACCGGGTTCTTATTTCACATATTCTTTCATTACTAAGTCTTTCTTTTCCAAATAGATTGATCTTTTAAACATGCATGTAACCCATTTTATGTTTAGAACCCAATTTTCTTCCCTAATTTTGAATCCAATTCAATTCCTTCATCATTTTACTAATTCTTCTTAAATCATGAAATTGAAATTATAAACTCTTTTAAAGAAATATTTGCATATATGAAATTAGGATCAAAATTTCTGATTTTATATTTTTCCCAAGCAAATCATAATTTAATTCTTGAATTACTCTAATTTAGATTTTTATTAATTTCCTTCATATCTAACCCAAATTTAAACTTATCAATCTTTTACACATGAATTAAATCTAAAACCTTGAAATTCCAACATGCATGCAAGGATGAGTTTCAATTTGTGAAGAATAATAGAAATCAAACTCTAACTAATTAATTTCCAAATATATATCCATGATCTTAAAACATAATTCAAAATTTCTTCATCTTCTTGCTAATTCCTATTAATTACATGATTTTGAGTCTAATTCCATCTTTAAATTCAAGTGTGATACAAAGATTCTACAACAATCAAGGTTAAAATCCTTGTCTCTAACCTTCCATGACTGAATTTCTTTTTAATTCCTTGAGTTCTCTCTTTTATCTTCATTTAGATCTCATAAACCCATTTCTCCAAAGCTTTTTCTAGCATAAAAGTTGGACTTCTCTCTCTCACTCTCTCTCTCGGTTCTTCTCTCCCTCACCAAACCGTACTCAACAAAAATAGTTTCTGAAGAAGAAAAGGAGCAAGCCCACTTTATCACTTAAAATTGGCACCACAAATACCAAACCCACTTCCTGATTCAACACTATTCACACGTGCACAAGGTTCCAATATTAAAAGATTAGAAGGCTCTAAAATTAACTAAATTACTAATTTATGCATTGACTTAATTAAACCCCACTTTTATCTTAACTAATTATAATTAACACTTGATTAGTACATAATTTAATTAGTCACAACTAATCAAAATCTCACATAATTTACTCAGTCTAATATGACTTCCATTAAAGCTCAGTTAATTATATTTAATCTTTACCATTCTGAATCTGATTTTTAATCAAATTCCCAAAATGTCCCAAATATTAAATAAAACTTATTTCCATCCTCAATTTTGATTTTCCAAATCATTTAGGCCTTCAATTTTTTATTAGACACCAAATCTTCGTCAATAAATTACATATTCAAATTAGACACCCCATAACTAATTTAATTTGTAATAATTACAATTCTCAATCTTCATAATTTAATTAACTTGATTAACTCCAATTTGGATCTAATTAATTGAATCTCAATTTTACTAAACTGGAACGAATATTTAATTAAACTTCCAAATGGGTCCACAATTAAGATTAAATCGATTCAACTTCTTAACTTCACTTCCTTAAGCCATTTGGACCCTCAATTTCTAATTCCAAAATAAATCTTTAATAGAATCATATACGAGTCAGATCCCACAATCCTCATAAATCCCAAATTAAATTATAATACTCGACAATTAAATTTCAAATTCTCGTAATTAATCAAGTACTAATCATTATACGTGATGGGGTCGTTACAACCAACCAACAGTGAAAAGACCACCCGGAATGCCAAAAAAGAATAAAATCCCATCAAGCACTACAAGAAATGCCACTTTTGGCGACCAAAATATTGGTCGCCAAAAGCCCCATTTTTGGTCGCCGAAACAATTAGCGACTAAAATATTTTGTCGCCAAACTAGTCGCCTATACCCTGCCGGCGATAGTATTGGCGACTAAACTATTTTTGGTCGCTGAAAGTGAATGTTTTGGCTACTAAACTCTGGTTAGTCGGCAAAGGTTATCTTTTGGCGACTAAAATATTAGTCGCCAAAAGTGAACATTCGGCTACCAAACTCTGAGTAGTCGGGAAAGGGTATATTTTGGCGACTAAATATTTAGTCGCCAAAACATACCCTTTCCCGACTACTCAGAGTTTGGTAGCCGAATGTTCACTTTTGGCAACTAATATTTTAGTCGCCAAAAGATAACCTTTGCCAACTAACCAGAGTTTAGTAGCCAAAACATTCACTTTCAGCGACCAAAAATAGTTTAGTCGCCAATACTATCGCCGACAGCTCAAACAGGAAAGTAAACCAAGATTACAGTTGGAGCAATAGAAGTCATTAAAAAGTCATTACAGGCACAAGCATACAGATCAAACCGGAATAACAGTTAGCACAAAAGAAGATCATTCTCATTGATTAGGGATTTTTTTTTTGGGGGAGGGGGTGTGGAAGCGGGAATGGGAAAAAAATAAAGGGGGGAGTTATTTAGTGTTTTTTTTATTATAATTAATTTCTTCACAACCTGTATTTATTTCATGCAACCTGCACCCTGTATTTAAACAAAATAATACATATATCTATTTCTATTTCGTTTCAACAATACAAAAATTTGATCTTTTAACATCAAATTCTATACAAATCAAATACAATCCAACCCAAAATAATAATTCCATACAATCACAAAATCATACAAAAAAGATGTCCTCTGTACAAAAAATTCTACATCAAATGTCATTTACAGAATATTTTAAAGGTGTAAAAAATGCAGATTATAAGCAGCAGGGCCTAGGCATCATATAGTTCTCAGCAGCAAGGTCTTGAGAATATTTTAAAGGTGTAAAAACACTAGCCATAAAACGTGGCTCATGAGGCCTTTATTGCACCAGTGTTTTCCATACAAATTAGCACACCACTGTTGAACTGTCATACAGGATACAAAGCAGATTGTCTCATAAGGCCTACAAATACATGGAACCAAAACAATGATGAAGTAGTTCTAAATTTTGCTAAAGGCAATCTTAACCCGATCAATTGGTTTAGGGTAAGGAAGATAATCAATCTTGGCATCTGGATTTATTAGTTCCCACCTGAAAATTCACCAAAAACCAAAAAGAAAAATGGAAAAACAGAACATAGTTTAGAATTATGCAAATTCCATTGAAGCCCAAATACTTACAAGCCTTCAAGCCATTAAAATTTTCACTTACTTGTAGCCGACAACCAAATGGTGCAGAAAGATTGCAAGTTCAGTCCGAGAGAGCATATTTCCAGCACAACTCCTTGAACCCCCACCAAAAACTTGGAAATGTACCAGGTTTTGCCGGTTTCTAGCAAAATAAATATGTTCACATTCAATAGGAATAGCGATCTGAGTAAAATATTTGAAACACTTTTCTTGCCTCTAGGAATTGAGTAATCTACTTTTGAAAGACTATGTACTAACAAAGCAAAGACGTAAAACTTCTGAGATGATAGACAAAAACAAAAGCAATGCCTTATTGCGAGCTTACATTCCATCTATCTGGATTGAAGCACAATGGATCCATGAAGTATTCTGAATTACTGTGATTGTATCGAAACCACAATAACAATTTCCAGCCTTTTGGGATTATGAAACCTGCAAGTCTTCATTATGATCACTAATTCTCAACAATTTCATGTGTTTACAAAATTTAGCGGCATACCTTGAAATTCAACTTCTTCCGTCACCTGAGCGAAAAAGGAAGGGTGAAATGTTTGTGAGTCTCAAAGTTTCTTCCACCACCTATATGAAAGGTGACAAATGCATAAATGATTCAACTTGGGCAACTACACAAAATTATTTGAAGCTGGTTTTTCTTCTATTATTTTCTTCATCTATTATCAAGAAAATGAAAGAAAAAACACAGCACACATGGTACAATAAAACCCATCATTGTTCTTTACTGAGACAGTGACAAGTTCAATCAAACTTGGCAAAAAAAGACCTTGTTTGTGTATTTCATTTCAGAAACATCACTGCCTGTGATAAATTCCCCGTTCTTCTTCCCGCTTACAGCCATATTTTCCTCCTGCCAATCACATTGATATTTTCCTACTGCTTCAACTATATCACCACCACCATCATCAACATGTTTCTCCGTTTTCCTCTTTATATTAGCTGAAGAAGCTTGAGATGCCACGGCTATGCCTGCATTGAACCATGTTCAGATGAAAAATTTAGAACCATTACTGCTAGATCAAATCCCAATCAGGTGAAGTTAATGAAGATAATCCAACTTGATCACTTACATATGGAATCAAAAGATATTCGCTATCTCTCCTTTAATTGCATTAGAGTACTTCCATAAATTCCATTTTAATGCCTTTTTTCCCAAGTAGCTGGAAATTATGCTAGAATGATAATATGTAAATGCGTCAATTCAGGCTTTAATTGTGGCTTGCACTGAACAGTTAAGTCTTTGACACCTATCTGCAAGATGCTACAAACTTTACCAATGGACTATGGATTGGTTACATTTTGCTAGATAACCAATTGTCCAAAAATCTTAAACTATTCAGAATGAGTCCATCAATGTAAATAAGCTAACACCCTCCCTCATGTGTTCCCATCTGGCAGGTGGAGAGGGAAGTAGACAAAAACATAAACTAAACTAAACATAAAGCACAAACACGCATAGAGTGGTGTTTAATAATAACAACAACCTTGATTCTCACATAAAAGGGCCAACCTATGATATCAATTGGGTTCATAGTCCCCAATTATATCCCAAGACCTCACATGTAGACTTTCAATGTAGAATTCAACACACTTAGCATGACTCAATATCATTACAATCTTGCCCCTTATCCCCTACCGTCCTCGCCAAAGGCCCAGATATCAGAATTAACCCTTATAGTTAGGTCTAAATTCCACAATCTTCCTCCTGATTCTATGACTCGAACTTGAACCACAATGCTGGGGCAAGTAGTACTTGCCATTGCATCCGGCGACAACCTCTTATTACTTAATAAAATGAATAATTTATTTTAGACGCAAGCATTGTCCAAGAGAGGAGGAATGTGAATCCATCATTTCTCCACCATTCAGCCTTGAACGTACTACATGTAAAATCTCTCTCCCAAATGAAAGAATAAGATAATTCTTAAAAGTTAAAACAATGTAAGTATATTCTAGAATATAACTAAAAAGTCTCATCGTTTAGTACCTCTTCAGCAGTTCAAAACACCAGCTACATGAAAGGAATGAAATTCAAGACCCAGCCAGAGTTACCTTCCACGAGAAAACAAAAGTGGACACACATAGAGGACAACAGTATCGGTCTGCAAAATGATGGTAATACAATGATGCACTTAAGTCTATGAAACATTAAAGAACAATGTGTTTGGTAATATAACCCAGAAAACTAAATCTACTTGCAGAAATCATCTAAAATTTATAATTCAATATCTATGTGAAGCATCCTCCACTCCACCTCCCATCTTTTCTTTAACACAATACTGCAAGATGAGCAAAGTACTCATGTGGACATATCAAGAAAGGATCGACTTCAAGCTCTCCCCCTACTTTTCTGGGTTAATCCATTCAATTTTAGACATGCTCAAGTCCTAGCTCAATCATTAGGCATCTGTTATCAATGCTTAAAAGATTACCAAGTAGAGTGATCAAGCCTTGAGATAGTTAGAACACTGGCACTAAAACAACTTCAAATCCAACAAAGTAGTATTAAATTTTTGTTCCTTTATTTAGCCAAAAATTCAAGCTTATCAGGGTGATTTATGCAACAAAATCTTCTCCTTCACTTCTCCATTTATTTAATTTTTTTCTCTTCTCTAGAGCATATTTAGGACACATTACATTGTTAGAAACAGAGAAAGAAAGAGAATTACATACCTTTTTGCTGATCAAATCTCAGATACGGAAGATCAATGAAGATGGCGAAGACTCACTGTCATTAGGGTAAAACCAAAATCAAAGAAAGAAGGGGAGAGGCAGAAATCAAACCTAGCGAGTGCGAGTTCGAAGGGAGCACATTCAGAGCATTTTCGATCTGGATACAAAACCAGTTGCTTGCAGAAACCCACTCTGCACTTAAATCATTAAAATCAAAGAGGGATCAAGACCCATTACACACACACAGAGAGAGAGAGAGAGAGAGAGAGAGAGGGGAAGAAGAGATTAGGGATTTTTTGGGTTTGAGATTAGGGATTTTTTTTTTTTGGGAGGGGGTGTGGAAGCGGGAATGGGAAAAAAATAAAGGGGGGGAGCGGGAATGGAAATCAATTTAGGGGGGATGAAAAATAAAAATAAAAATAAAAAAATAATTAAATAAATTTATTTTTTGTTAAAATATATATATTTTTTGTAGTTAATGAATTTTTTAAAATTTTTTTTTTTTAGTTATTAAGATTGAAAATTTATTTGTTTCATTTTTATTTTAATGAAAAAAAATATTATTATTTTTTATTTTGTAGAAGTAGGGGTAATATATATTTTAATAAAAAATATTTTTCACTAAAATAAAAATATTTTTCACTAATATATATTTTAGTGGTAGTGTAAATGGAGTGGCAGGGATGAAAGAGAAGTAATGGTAGTAGTAGGTAGCAGTAGTAGTAGTGGTGGTAGTAGAGTGGTGGTGATAGTAGTAGTAATGGTAGTCGTAGAGGTGAAGTAGCGACAGTGGAAGTAATAATGGTGGTGGAATGGTGTTTGCAGTAGTGGTGAAGGTGATAGAAGAGATGAGTGGTGAGAGAGAGTGATAGACAGAGAGACACAGAGATGAGAGAGAGAGTGATAGACAGAGAGACACAGAGATGAGGGAGAGAGTGATAGACAGAGAGACACAAATATAGAGGGAAGAGAGATGAGCGAGAGAGATAAAAAGAAGAGAGATGAGCGAAAGAGACAGAGAGAGAAAATAGATGAGAAAAGAGATGAAAGAAGAGATAGATGAGTGAGAGACACAAAGAGACACAGAGATGAGGGAGAAAGTGAGTAATGTGAACACAATGGGAGAGAGAGATAAACAGACAGATAGATACATAGAAAGAGAGAAAGAGAGAGAGAAGAGTGAGAGACGGACAAACAGACACAGAGAGAGAAAGAAAGAGAGAAGAGTGATAAGTGTGAGAGAGATAAAGAGAGAAAGAGATATAGAGAGAGAGACAGACAGAGAGACGGAGAGAAAAAGAGATAGAGAGAGATATATAGAAAAATAGAGAGAAACAAGCGATGAGAGAGATATATAGAAAGAGAACGAAAAGAGATGAACGAGAGAGAGAACAGAAAAATAGAGACATAGAGAGAAGACAAATGAGAAAGATAAAAAGAAGAAAGATGAATGAAAGACACACAGACAGATAGACAAACAGACAGAGAAAGAAGAGAGATAGAGAGAGAGAGAGAGACAGAGAGAGAGTGATGAGCGATAGAGAGAGATAGACAAAGTGGTTGCTAAAAGTGTATTTTCTTATAGTGGATCGATAAATCGAGAAGGAGCTAGATAAATAGAGAAGATGAGAGTAAGAGAGTGAGCAAGACGAACATAGTAAGAGAGAAATAGACAAAGAAAGATAGGCGAGAAATGTTATATCAAAAGAGTAAGACGACATTGTTTTTTTTTAATTTCTTTTGCGACAGAAAAATACTGTTGAATTTATTCAAACCATTTTATGACTGTATATATATGAAGCTATCTCAAAACCACAATCACTATGCTAGGTTAGAGTTTTCCAAAAACTCTTTTGAGAAAATTATACTTCTTGTTTTTCGTGTTATATTGTTTTTACTGAATTTTTTTAATATTTTAAGTATTTTTTAAAATTTTTAGACACACCTAACATAAATGCACCTAAAAATTTAAAAATTTGTAAAAAAAAATCTTTTAAAAATTCACTAAATACCAAAAATACAAAAAAAAATACAATAATTCAATACCGTCGCAAATGCTCTCATTTTTTGAGACGACAAATAGTGCCGTCACAAATGCTCTGCTTTTTTGAGACGGCAAATGGTTCCGTCGCAAATACTCTGTTTTTTTAAGACGGCAAGTGTGCCGTTGCAAATAGTTCCGTCTCATATACCCACTTTTCTTGTAGTGAGGAATGAGAAGGAGTTGTGTGTGAGAGTGAGATGAGAAACGGAGAAGGGTTAGGGCAAAATTTTGGGGGGAATCCCCAATTTGAGAGGGAATTTCAAATTAAGATAAAATTTTGTGAAAATATTTGCTGCTAATTTTTTTCGAGATGTGAAAAATAGATCAGGCTTGTTAAATTAATATTTTTTAATTTTATTTATTGTTTATACTTTTTACTTTATTGGAGTTTTATGACTCAGTTTGTGAAAAAAAAATTACAAAATTTAGAAATATTTAGAAAGTATAAATTTAAAAATAAGTCTTACAAATCAGATTTATTTACTCATAAGTCAATTGTGAATTTTTTTTACACACTTAGCCTTCGTTTTGATAATGAAATTTTTTTTGAAACTTTTTAAATATATGTTTTGTGTCTGTAAAATGATTATTTCATTAGTACTGGTAATAATATTGAAAAATTTATTAAAATGATAAATAATTGGGATATTTTGTCTTTTATTTGTGAATTTTGATTTATTCTTAATTTATTAGTGTTATTGAAATATGATGATGTAAAAAGTATAAATAGTTTAATTGTACTTTTTAAAAATAATAAATTTATTATTAAAAATTAAATTCATCAGACTGACCTGTAACTATGCCTTTAAATTTTTGCAATGTAAAACTATCGACAAACAGCCAATAACAAGTTGCCCATTTTAGCATACCTTTCGCGTGAGGGCCCAATTATTAAAAGATGTGTTCAACCCATCAAATGAAAGCCAACAACTTCTTCCATCTAAAAATAATAGTCTATTTTCAGAATTTAATTTCTTTTCATAATACAATTATTACATTTTAAAAATATTAATTTTTCAAAATTACCTTTTGATAGTATATTTTTTTAGAAATATCAATTGTCATAATTGTACTTTTTGTATTATTAATGGATTTAAAAAAAGGACAAAATAAGAAATTCATATTATTTTAATAATTAATTTTTTTTAAA